GGCCGCAAGGCAGGGCCGCCGCTTCCCCCGGGGTCTCTAGGCACCCGGCGCAGCCCGACTCCTCCGGCCGCGGCGGTGGCGGCGGCTGCAGCAACGGCGGTTGCAACACCAGCACTGCGGGGCCAGAGGCCGAGCCTGGGGCCCCAGTCTTGGCTGCCGCCATCTCGTCACAGCGGCCCCGCCGGCTCCGCCGACTCAGAGCTGCTGCTGCCGCCGCGGAAGAGGCCCGAGTACTCGGACCTGCCGCCGCCATCTTGTTTCCCGTTTGAGGGGAGAGTCCGTTGCGAGGGAGAAGAGTAGAGGGCGGGGCAGCGCGCGGCGGGCAGCGCTAGCTGCATATTCATGAGGGGCGGGGCTACTGAGAGCCCGGAGAAGGTTCTTCCCGGACCCGGTTAGCGATAGGTGAAACTACATCAACATTTTTTAGTTGTACTTTATATATCCGTCTTCAGCCTCCTTCTACAGTCTTTGCAATTTCTTTATTGAACCAAATGAAGTGGAGAACTGAGGGGTTTATTTGGAAAAATCTGAGCCATATTAAACTTCATGAAGTAATGACACTTATCCTGCAAGGCCCTGAGAGGCTAAGAGTGGTGAGTATGTAAATTATGTAGACTACTGTCTGGGTGCTTCATTTGATGTGACGGTAGTTGTTGTGAGTGAGAGTAGGCCCTTTGTGACCAGAAACTATCTGCCAAAAAAAACAGCTCCTTGTCAGGCCTCATCTCCCTATCCTTCTCCACATCCCTTCCTGAAAATTCCCCTCCGTTGGCTGGCAAAACCGTACTTTCCTGTTTTTTTCCCATCCCCTCAGCTCTTTCTCAGACTCCTTCCTGGAGCCCTCCCCCCTTGTTTTGGGCTTAAATGGAGCTGTTCCTCTAGGCTCAGGCCTCGGGCCTCTTCTCTCACTTTGCCTGTTCCTCTCATCTCCACCTCACACTTTCTTCCAGCTGAAAACTCCCAAATTGATATCTGCAGTCTAGACCTCTTGAGTCCAGCCGTGCATATTCAAGCTGCCTGATGGAAACATCTTGGATGTCTGCATCCCTCAGGTACAAAATCGAAGTCACTGTCTTCCACCCTCCTTTCAAAACAGCTCTTCTTATTTTCCTTATTCTGTTAAAGATGCTATCCTCCCAGTTCCTCAAGCTCCAAGCCTAGTGATCTTTACTTCTCCCCCATCTCCCACATCTGTCAGTTTCTTAGTCCTGTCAATTCTCCCACCAAAATGGCTCTTTTCCCACCTACCCTCTCCTCTTCTTCCCTCTCCCACTGCCCAATTCAGGTCTCATCATCTCTCACCTCGATCATTGCAGTAGCTTCTATGGATTGTCTCCCTACCCACAGACTCTCTTCCTCCAATCCATCCTCCATGGCTCTTAGAGTTGCTTTCTAAAGGACAGCTCTGACCACGTCATCCCTACTTGGGCTAGTCACCAGGTGAGGTGATCAGAATTTGATGCCAACCCCCTTTCTGGATGCAGAGAGTATGGAGAAAGAATGGCTCCCCTTGATAGAAAGTTCTGCTATAGCAATTCTCCCACCTTTTGTTTTCTTTGCACTATAATAAGGTAGATTTGGAGCAGGAAGACATTAAGCAAATGGCATTTCCTGCTGGGAATCTTTAGGAAAACACTAAGTTTTGTAAGGAGAGCAAAGTCAAAAAAGCAACATAATGCAGCAAAAGGCATCAGGGTCCCCGGATTTCCATGAGATGGCCTGGAAACAGCGCCTGGGGTGGTGGTAAACCAATTCAAGGCAGAGTGATTGGTGGAAGTCAGAGAGCAAAAAAAAGAAAGAAGTGGATTCCCAAGATGAGAACCAGATGGCTAAAGAACAATCAAGAATTGAAGAAGGGTCAATGAGTAATTGAAACAAGGACTTGTGTTTACAGAGGCCCACACAGTCAGAATCCTGCCAGACACAAAAATATGGCCTCAGCTAGACTGTCCTTTATCCAGGGGTCCTCCTCATTCACTCCCCACTCGAGGTTCTCTAAGACACTTTGCCCGGATTCTGACAAGGGAGGCCTGTGTTCCAGAGATCAAGCCAACTACCATTAGAAATGGGGCCCTTGGGATGCGCTGTTCACTCTTGAGAGTTTGGGGCTCTTAATCTGAAGCCGATTTACTGTTGGAGGAACTGGACCACAGAAGTGTAGCATGCTTTCTTGGATACAAATAAAGACAGGAAATTTCCTTTTGCAGAGGGAAATAGAGGTCTGAAAAGCACTAGACCAAAAGCCGGGAGATCTGGGATTGGTCCTGGTCCCCTTCCCCTTTTCATTAACTCATTGTATGTGATTTCAAGTAGGTAACTTTTCTCTGGGCCTCAGTCTCCTCATCTTTGTTTTTTTATTTAGCTGGGCCATCCTGCCACTTGTTGGCAGCTCAGTGGCAGCTCATCTTCGGCCCATTTGGGAATCGAACCAGCGACCCTGTTGCTCAGAGCTCACACTCTTGAGCGAGCTCTTAACCAACTGAGCCACTTGGCCGGCCCTCAGTCTCCTCATCTTTAAAACAAGGGTATTGGAATTCAGCAGTTCCCAACCTGGGATGCACCTCAGAAACACACACATGCGCACGCACACATGCGCCAAAGTCCCATCTCAGCTCTAGTGAACCCAAAAACTGAGGGTGGGATGCCAGCATGTGTATTGTTTTTAATGCCATGTGAATTCTAATGAATACTCTTAGATAAGACAATTGCAATAGATAAAGGTCTCTCCTAGTTCTGACATTCTAGAAGTCTGACTCCCAATTTCCAGTCCCTTCTCTCCTCCTCCTTTGCTGCTGACAAAGTAATCTTATGAAAGCAGTAGCAGTGACAGAAGAAATCTGGAGAGTTGTTCACGATGTGGGAAAATGAAGGAGAAAAGGATGCTTCTAAAGTGTGAAGCCTAGGAGCCTGATATTCTGATCACAGTTGACAGCAGACAAAAAAAGAATAGCTAGAAAGAAAAGCAGCCTGAAAGAGGAGGGCATTGTGGACATTTTATTTTGTTTTGTTTCGTTTACCATCAGCACTCAAACCTTCTTCCTATTTGGGGAATGCCCCATTCTACGCAGTATTGCTGACTAGGGGAGCTGAAGCAGGGAGATACTCTTCTCCCTGCCCCCTAGCAGTCAGAACATGACATATGACCTAGGCTCAGCCATTTGGCCACTCCTCTCTGAACTTTGAGTCTTCAGGGAATGACGTAAGACGTATCCATGAATTTAGAATTATTCACAGCAACAGAGACAGTAGCTGTCCAACCACAATGGGTCCCTTGGGGGTTGGGGATGGGACGGTGGTGCCCCTGCCATGGTGATGGTGACCATACCAGATTGTTTCTGAGGCATAAACTTGGTTGTGGTTCCTGCTGCCTGGCCTTCCTAGGTTACCACCCATTGTCCATATCCGACTCTCCAGACTTCCTGTCAACTCTTTGTATCCTTTCAGTAAATTCTCTTTTTTCTTAAATTACTTGCAAATTCTATGGTTTGTATCACAGTACTCTGAGACATTGGTTTGCTGTTTTTAAAGTGTCACCTGAAAATGGTTGTCAAGGCTGCTTTCTAAGTTATAAAACTATCTGAGAAGCTTAGCCTGACAGCCTAGAGTAGAACAAGCCTGAGTGTCACGTTTTGCTTTTTTTCTAAGCCCCCACCTGTACCTAGGGAAGAGGGGCTCACAGACTCAATTTAATGCAGCCGTCCAGGACGCTAACTGGAGCAGATAGCAGTGTAGCCACACTCACCTACTAAGGCTTCCTCTCCAGCTGCTTTTGCTCGGCCCCACCTGCCATACATTCAGAGGATTGAATTGCTGCCCAAATTCTCTGCCATCGCTCTCATAGTGTGTCTACCTAGGGAGCTCTCCATGGTCCATTGCCACCACTTTCCCTCCAGCACTCATCCATATCACTGCAAACCTTCCCTCTATCTCTCCAGCTGGAGGCGGCAGCTTCTTCCTGTTGGAATGAAAGACCCAGACGTGAAGCAAGGCTGTCCTCCTAGTTTCAGGGAGAGACAAGCCTGTTTCCCTGCAGACCCATGAAACCCTTCTTGCCAACCCAGGCACTGAGTCCATCCTGAGATCTCACACATCTAGGAAGAAGGCTCAATCCCTCAGACTGCACCAGTACCGCCTCTCCTTTTCCCTCCTCATCTCTTCTGGTGGCATCTTTTTCCTGTACTCCTCCTCCCTCAAGCCAGATTTCCCCTTGAGATTTGGCCCCTTCCGTTTTGCCTTCAAGATTCTTGCTGCATTCTTTTTAAATTTTTTTTAGCTGAGCCATCCTGCCACCTGTTGGCAGCTCAGCAGCAGCTCAGCTCGGGCCGTGAATTGAACTGGTGACCCTGTTGCTCAGAGCTCACACTCTTGAGCGAGCTGTTAACCAACTGAGCCGCTCGGCCGGCCACCTCTTGCTGCATTCTTACTATCACTTATCTTCAGTTCCTTCCCTTTTGTTGCGAGAATGCTATGGATTTGTATTTTATAAGAATAACGCTTGATCCTATAATTACCAGTGAGGAATAAAAATAATCTAAGCAGACTTCATCCTACCCCATGGGGTGAAGATATCATTGGAAAAACATGCATTTATTCAACAACTACCATATTCCCCCAT